TCGATGTTTATATCGACAATTATGGCTTCATAATTAAATAACTCACCGGCAATTTTTTCTAATTGTGTTTTAATGCTAATATTGCAAAATAATCCGGGACTAGTATTTTGTACTATAATCTGCGAGCTACTTTTTAAAATCGTTCGTGCGCATTTAGGTACATTAATATTTTCATTTGCAAGAATTGTCAAAAGTTCGGAAAGGCTTTTGTGGGATATTTTATTGCGAATAGCCCACATTTTAAGATTTTCACAAAAAGGTATTTTCAAATCTTCATTTACCGCATTACCTGGCACATCCTCTCCACTTTCGACAACTCTAGCAATGGGCGCAGACGCACTAATCTGCTCATTTTCACTTAACCTCAACATTTCACGGTTCTTTTCCCTTTCTTTACGAACCAATCTTCTAAGATGACGCTTACTTACCTTATTCATATTGTTATATAATATATCCGGTGTTTCTCGATGTGGGTTCTCCCTTTTTTATTAATTAAATTTAATTATTTGCAAAACACTTGAATCTCAGGTCAACTTTATTTTCATACATTCGGCATGTGAAAAACATCTGTTGCAAAATTAGAGACCGCCAACTACTGATTGCCGTTATCGATATTGTTTTTCCGTCGGTACNTTACGAACCAATCTTCTAAGATGACGCTTACTTACCTTATTCATATTGTTATATAATATATCCGGTGTTTCTCGATGTGGGTTCTCCCTTTTTTATTAATTAAATTTAATTATTTGCAAAACACTTAAATCTCAGGTCAACTTTATTTTCTTACATTCGGCATGTGAAAAACATCTGTTGCAAAATTAGAGACCGCCAACTACTGATTGCGGTTATCGATATTGTTTTTCCGTCGGTACAATACACGATGAATGCTTGCATACCGCACGAAGTATTATGGGTTGTTTTTGCTTACACGTAAAAGCACATTTAGCGTATTTAGCTCTAAATGCTACTATAAACGCACATTTATCCATACAAAATTCGTCACCTAATGCAACTAAATGAAACTCCATTTCTGCATTAAGAAACGAAATGATATAAGCCTGTGATCTTCGAAAAATACCACGATTCGAACATGGCTTGATGGTAGCAGAAGAGCAAATGCAACCCTGCCATGTATTTTGTTGTTGCTTGAGAAACATAAAATGTCAAAACAGAAGTAAATGTAAGCACGTTCGACAAATCAAAAGCAAGCAAAAATGATGCTTATGTATGTGTATGTGAATGTGTATATGAATGTAGTAAAGCTTGACAGTTCAGATTTTTCCCGAAATAGAAAAAAATCAAAACTGAAGCCCTGCTGCTACTACCTGTTTAAATGCAGTAAAAACGCTGCATTACGTATTAAATTCCAGCGTGTGAAAGCCGATAGCTAGCGTTTATCGTATTTCGTTAAATTTTGGTATTGCCATGAGAAAGTAATGTATTGAGCAGAAATGGATAACCGCTAGCAACCGCATGAAATTGAACAGCTGATCTTATCATCATATCAGCTGTTCAATTTCATGCAAGCGGTTATCCATCTTTGCACGATGGATTAATTTCTCATCTTTCTTGGAAATTTTTCTACTTTGAGGTACAAAATTACTACTTTAAAACTACTACTTAACTTAACTACTTAATACTAAATTATTAAAAATTTTTAATTAAATTATTTCTTGAAAACGATTTGCATAATTTCAGTTGCAGTTATACCTTGCAATTTTTATTTCGGCAAGTGATTTCTGCAAATCTCCAAAAAGCACTTTCTGGCTGTTTACACGGGAAATATTTTCATATTTAGCGTTAAACTCAAAAATGGACCATAAATTCGAGTTTATGGTTCCACGTGACCATATTATGAACGTGAGCATACTATAAAACTCATTTATCATAATATTTTGCTACGTTATCGTCATATCAGTTTCTTTTGATCGATACTTTTCTCTAATTAATCGATAAAGTGGATGTCGGACAACTTCAGAGTTTTGACAATTCTAAATAGCAAATCTTTATTTACTCCGGGTTATTATTATCGTTCAAGCAAAATAAACAGATAAGTATTATCAATTAAACGCAAAAATTACTAAATAATAATTGCTCCATTATTTTGTAGTTATGAGCGTTGTGGAGTAGGAACAACAAATGTGGTCACCAAAGATGTTGAGATGTTGCAGACTGAAGCCAGCACTGAATTCAATTTGAACAAATCGGGAAGCGTTTGTGAAGGAATATTCTTGGTTTTGTGTGCTGGACAATATGGATAAATATAATACCGATATTAGTAATTTAGCTTGGTGTTTTAAATTAATACATCTTTAAAGGTAAATTATTGAGTGTACCCTGACCTGTGCATAATTTACTGTGTTCTTTTGCAACAGGTGATTTAATTGTTGAACAAAGCTTTTCCTCGTAACTAGTGGGTTGAAAAATTCGATTCCCACCATCTTCACTCGCGTCCACAGTACCGGCTAGCAACAAACTATCTTTGCTTATCAGTGTTCTCTTTAAAGGAGCTCGTATGCATTTACATAGTTAGCATGTTTATATGTTTATGTATATCAAAAGAAAGGTAATTCAATTGCCTTTCATTTGGTAATAAAATCTTTTGAATTCATAAAATATTTTTGTAAAAATTTCCAAATTTTCAGTATGCCTTATGCGAGTGTAAAATACATGTACGGAATTCCAAAAAGCGTTTAGCCAAGGCTGAGTTTTTAGTAATTATCAATCTAACTTTTTCTTCTGTTATGAATTATTTTGAATAAATTCGGGTTTTTTGTAAAAATTTAAAATTTTTGTGTACTGCCTTATTGGACTGCAAAGCACATGGAGCCTTATGAATAACAACTAAACAATTGCTTTTTCCTAATATTTCAGAGCTTTTACTTAATTTATTTGAATAAAACGAGTAAAGGGTGAAAAATTTAAAAAAAAAAAACAAATTCTCGCTTTTTATTCATAAGGCCCATGTACGAAATTGATAAGAACTACTAAAAAAAAATTATTAACTAACTATTAATGTTAATTCTTATTAAAAAGGGAAAGAATTTACTTTTCTTTCTGTGATTAATTCTTTTAAATAATTAACTTTTGTTATAAAACCTCCAATCGTACCCGTAGGGGATGAGTCGAGACTAATTGATCTCCAATAATACCCGTTTGAGACTAGTTGCGACTAATTAATGCCCAATTGTACCCGATTGAGACTCATCCCGGAATACTCTCTTTAGAGATTAGTCGCACAATTTTTTGCAGGGTATATAAATACCTTGTATATGCGGAATCCAATACCACGCCATGTATGTACAATAAAAAAGAGATTTGGTTATTATTTTTCATTACTGCTTACTTTTTTGTAATTTAAGTTAAGATTAATAATAATAATCTTATAGCAAGTAGGTTCAAGGGAAATACCATTCCAAAATTTTGTAAAAATCGGTTTTTTGCGCTTTTGTAAAATGCATTTACGCCAAGTACCGCGTATACGATGCCAAATGCATTTTACAAAAGCGCAAAAAACCGATTTTTACCAAATTTTGGAGTGGTATTTCCCTTATTTCCAGCCTTAACCCTCCGATGAGTGACAGTGCCGATGACGTTAGATTCGTGAGAAGGTCCTTAGGGACCTACAAAGAGTTGCTCGATGTTTCGACTGTACATGTGCAACTTCTTTGGTATTTATGTTGTCTTTTGATTAAATTAACGTCCTGCATATATATTAGGAATGAAATAATTTTAAGAACAAGTGAAAAAAAATCAAAACATGAAGACACGTAACTTCTTATTTCTTCTAAAACTGTACAAGGTCCCTAGGGACCTTGTCACTAATCCCCGTACTATATATGTTGAAATCTCAATAACACTCGAACGTGATCCCGTATCCCTTCGAAACTTATTTTAAACGATTCAGCTTAATTTATTCTTGGAGTACATGTATAAATTCTTTTCAAAAATGCATTGAACAAAAAGATATAGGCACATGAAATACGAAAAGGTCCCTAGGGACCTTCTCACAAATCGAAGGGTTAAAAGGATTTACTTTTCAAAAATGCAAATAAAAATTTATTTTCTTTTCTAATGAATAAATTGGTTATTTTACCTTACATTTGGTAACTTTGTCGTCCAATCGTGGTTAGCAAGTTCTTCGAGCGGCGGCAACAGTAGGTATAACCTTTACACTGAATCAAAATAAACTGTTCAAAAACTGCGCTCAGAAATAGTATATTTTTTATATTGAAAATGTATATCACGCCGATGCAAAAAAAAAACAGAAAATATTTTGGTGCATATTTGGCTTGGTAGCACTACTTGAGTTTCATGTTACCATGCCACTGATTTATTTACTTATTCATTCACTTTATGGTGTTGTCGTTATTATTACACTATTTAAAGAGCTTAAGGAAAATCATTGAATATTGAACCATAAATAGAAAAATAAAACTGAATTCAGTTAGCTAAATTTATTGAATTCAATACATGATTAAATGCATGGAGGTATGTAAAAATATATGTATTTAATATGTGCACGTATGTACATACATATATATATATTTAAGAATGTACATATTGTACGCATGAATGTACATATATGTATATATATGTGCTTACTTTTGTATACTTCATTCTCCGTCTTCGCAATGTTTATTTGTACGTTTGCATGAGGATGTGTACTCAATACCAAGCTTCATAGGCACGCACTCCTAGTAGCTCCTCGTTTTCCTAAATTTCTCCAGTGCACTTGCATATTCGAATGTTGCACTTTCATATCTAGCAGAGTTGTAAATTTAGGTTATTGAACTTTTGCGTTAAGTGCACGTATGACAGCATATTTCCGGTTTGTTTTCGCATTTGTTGTTGTTGCTATTGCCGTTGTTTATTTTTGTTTCGTACATTCGCTACAATGTAAATCTTTACAAGTGATCTACTTACACTTGGAAAAGAGTTTATTTAAGTGCTTAAAGTTTTATAAAATCTAGCTATAAGGGGCTTTTTGGTATGAGGAATCCTTTTCTGGACTTACCGCTTTCTTAAACCATCCGGCAGAGGGCGCAACTACGCATTTCTTTTAATTTTTGAGTGTTAGAATAAAAAAAACCTATACATATTTTACTTTTCTTTGAAATTTCCTTTCATACAACTAAAATTCAAAACAAAATACATATGTATGTTTCTATGTATGTACATATGTATATGGAATGACATTTTTT